AGAGACAGAGAGAGAGAGAGACCTGCACCGCATTGACAGGCAGCACGGAGTCAGAGCTCCGGTAACGCCGACAGCAGAGAGGAGGAGGTGGATAGTTTCTGATGCCGCTGCAGAGTTGACGGTACCGGGTGCAGCAGCGGGGAGAGGAGCGGCGGACCAGCGCAGGTAAGCGGACACTTTCTACTATGCACTGTGATGCTCTGTAGCGTTAGTTGTAGCTCTCATTGCGCTGACGCATCGGGTGGTGTCCCGGTTCTGGCGAGGCGGACCGGGTTGATGATAAGAACCGAGGGTGTAAATGAGGCAGCAGGACGGAATGCTGCAGCTCCGGTCCCGCGCAGGAAGGCTCGGAACGGTGCTGCTCCGTCTCTCTGCAGTGTTTCCTGGGCACCTGGTGCACACGGGCCCCCGCCTCTCTCTGCGCATCTTCTGGATGATGCTGCGGTTTCGTGGGATTTTTGCTGCTCTGCGCAAATCGCTCATAAAGGTACCAAAGTCCGCGGAAATGACCGGGCCCGGCCTTGGAGGCTGCATCTGCAGAGGCCCGTGTGCGCGTATGATGTGTGAGAAGTGTCATTGCAGAAGACGAGCGAACGGGACATTTAAAGGGCTGTCAAGTTGGGCTTGTTTGGTTAGGCCCGGGGGCTGCAGCCTGGCTGCACAGAGGGTGAGTCAGGTCTGTCTCTGAGCGCTGCAAGTGGATCAGAGCACATCTGAATGTGAGGGGAGCAACTTGTACATGTTTGTGTGCTGTAGTGGAACATTACATGGTGACCTTGTTGCACTTTCTGACATTTTAATACCTAATGGGATCACATGATTCCTGCATCATTTTTACAACAGTCCCACACAGTCTGTCTGCACATAGTCGCCAGTTTAGTTACATTATTAAATCACTAAATAGGGATTGGTAATGGTGTGTCAACAGCAGCCCTGTGTTACTGTGTTAAAAGGATTATCATCAATAGTGAGCTCATAGTGATCTTAAAGCTGCAGTAAGTAACTTTTATTAAAATACCTTTTTGTAATATTTGCGAAAACGCCCAAAGTATCCTGACAGTAGTACATGAGACAGATAATCTGTAAAAAAAAAAATCAGGTTCCTCTGGCTCTTTTTAGTGCTCCTAATGGCATCTGCAAAAATCTACTGCACCTAAACAACAACAACCAATAAGAGCTGAGAAAGATAGTTAAATCCCAGGTTGTCAAATACTTTAGATTGGTGGCTTGAAGATAGTTAAGTCTTGTTCCCAAAGCGTCGTTATTTGACAACCTGGGAATGACGTAACTTTTATAAAAATAACTTTTTGTTATATGAAACAAAAACAACCAATCAGAGCCAAGAAAGATAGAAAGAC